ACTCAGGGACAGACACAGAATTGTTACTCAGGGACAGACACAGAATTGTTACTCAGGGACACAGGGACAGGGACACAGAATTGTTACTGAGGGACACAGAATTGTTACTCAGGGACACAGAATTGTTACTGAGGGACACACAGAATTGTTACTCAGGGACACAGAATTGTTACTGAGGGACACAGAATTGTTACTCAGGGACAGACACAGAATTGTTACTCAGGGGACACAGAATTGTTACTGAGGGGACACAGAATTGTTACTGAGGGGACACAGAATTGTTACTCAGGGGACACAGAATTGTTACTCAGGGACACAGAATTGTTACTCAGGGACACACAGAATTGTTACTGACACAGAATTGTTACTCAGGGAGGGACACAGAATTGTTACTGAGGGACACAGAATTGTTACTGAGGGACACAGAATTGTTACTGAGGGACACAGAATTGTTACTGAGGGACACAGAATTGTTACTCAGGGACAGACACAGAATTGTTACTGAGGGACACAGAATTGTTACTGAGGGACACAGAATTGTTACTCAGGGACCAGAATTGTTACTCAGGGACACAGAATTGTTACTGAGGGACACAGACACAGAATTGTTACTCAGGGGACACAGAATTGTTACTGAGGGACACAGAATTGTTACTGAGGGACACAGAATTGTTACACAGGGACACAGAATTGTTACTCAGGGGACACAGAATTGTTACTGAGGGACACAGAATTGTTACTGAGGGACACAGAATTGTTACTCAGGGACACAGAATTGTTACTCAGGGGACACAGAATTGTTACTCAGGGGGACACAGAATTGTTACTGAGGGACACAGAATTGTTACTGAGGGACACAGAATTGTTACTCAGGGGACACAGAATTGTTACTGAGGGACACAGAATTGTTACTGAGGGACACAGAATTGTTACTGAGGGACACAGAATTGTTACTCAGGGACACAGAATTGTTACTCAGGGACACAGAATTGTTACTCAGGGAATTGACACTCAGGGAGAATTGTTACTCAGGGACACAGAATTGTTTACTGACAGGGACAGGGACACAGAATTGTTACTCAGGGACAGACACAGAATTGTTACTGAGGGACACAGAATTGTTACTCAGGGACACAGAATTGTTACTGAGGGACACAGAATTGTTACTGAGGGACACAGAATTGTTACTCAGGGACACAGAATTGTTACTCAGGGACAGACACAGAATTGTTACTGAGGGGGACACAGAATTGTTACTGAGGGACACAGAATTGTTACTCAGGGACAGACACAGAATTGTTACTCTGAGGGACAGACAGAATTGTTACTGAGGGACACAGAATTGTTACTGAGGGACACAGAATTGTTACTGAGGGACACAGAATTGTTACTCAGGGACACAGAATTGTTACTCAGGGACAGACACAGAATTGTTACTCAGGGACACAGAATTGTTACTCAGGGACACAGAATCGTTGAATTAAAGAGTATGTCAGACAACATGCAGAGGAGTGGCAGAGGAGGCAATGTTTTAGGAGCGAGCAGACGTGGCAGCAGAGGAAGGGGTCGAGGCAGCACTAGTCGCAGCCAGAGGCCAGTGCTCCCGGTGTCATCCAGCGGTCGTGTCTCCACCGACAACCCTGCCGTCATCGATTGGTTGGGCTCGGTCGTCTTCCTCTTCCCAGGTCACCTCTGACACCTACAGCCAACGGTCGGTGGGTACGTCAGACACAACCGTTAGTTGGCATGGCCCGGGAGCAAGCCCACTGAAATCACGTGTCCTCTACCTGCCCCTGTCCTTTGGTGTTCCCTCACCAAGCGAAGTATCGCATGCTGTGGGCTGTGGGCTCAGCCCCACTGTACAGTGAGGAAGAGCTAACAGAGGGCGGTCAGGAACGGGGGGAGACATCCGCCTCTTCAGCAGCCAGGCGAAGAAGTAGTGGCGAGGAGAGTGGCTCGGTAGCCGGTCTAGAGACAGGTCTGTCTCCTGACCCACACGCAGCCGAGGGGGCTAGTAGTGAGGCGGAGGACCCTAATTGATGATGATGAGGCTGATCGCACTTGGCAGCCTCTCGTCGTCATCAGGCTATTGCTTCCGCATCATCAGGGAGAAGAGGGTGGCAGCTTGGCAGCGAGCAAAACAGTCGGTGGGTTGCCCAGGAGGCAGCAGTCGGTCGCAGCAGTGTCAGTGGAGGCAAACGGCCACGGAGTAGAGCACCAGCTCCACTGCAGCCTACCACCACGGCCAGTAGTGGTGCCGGTGTGCACGGAGGAAGTAGCAGTCAGCCAGTGAGGAGTATCGGGTATCGGGGGCAAAGTTTCCTACTCGGCGGTGTGGCATTTTTTCGTCAAGCCGCCCGAGGAAGTAAACGTAGCCGTATGTCGACTATGTGGCCAGAAAGTCAAGCGTGGCCAGGGGGCCCATGTTGGGACTACAGCGTTGCGGCAGCATATGCAGCGTCGCCATTTGGTGGCCTGGGAAAACCGTGATAAAGATACGGCGGTTCTGCCTGCCCCAGCAGCCCCCGCTCCATCACCCGCTCCGTTACTTGCTCCGTCACCCGACGTCAATCGCCCTCTATCAGCCAGTCAAGGCTCCAACACCTCTGCTGAGGGGAGTTGTCGCTCGTTGGCATCTTCCGCTCGTTCAGATGCTCCTTCTCCTGCTACTCCTCTTCACGGATTCCGTCAGCAGTCTTTCTTGGAATCCGTTTCCAAGAGACAACAGTTTGCGAGCACGCACCCGACGGTGCAAAAGCTGAACGTCCTCCTGTCCAAGTTGCTGGCTGGTGCTGCAGTCCCTCCCTTTCCAAGTGGTGGACTCAGCACCTTTCCGAGAAATGATGGCTTGTGCCGCGCCGCGGTGGAGAGTGCCAAGCCGTCATTTCTTCGCCAAAAAGGCAGTGCCAGCCCTGCATTCACATGTAGAAGAGATGGTGGGCCAGTCTTTGAGCATGTCGGTCTCTGCCAAAGTGCACGGCAGCGCCGACGTGTGGAGCTGTAACTACGGTCAGGGACAGTACATGTCATTTACGGCCCACTGGGTGAACGTGGTGCCGGCACAGCCGCACCAGCAACTTGGACAGGTCACGCCGCTTTTGCCTCCACGTTTTGCACGTCCTTGGTCCACAAAAGATGTCCGCCTCTACCACCTCTTCTTCCGCCGTGTCCTCAGCCGCCACCCCCGTGCCAAGTCCCATTACCCGACCGGCATATCACATGTGCAGGGCGCAACGGTGTCACGCTGTGCTGCACCTGGTATGCCTTGGCGAACGTAGTCACACAGGGGAGGAACTTCTGAGTGTAATGAACAGAGAAATCGACAGATGGCTGTCTCCGCGCAAACTGAAAATCGGAACCATGTTGACCGACAACGGAAAGAACATGGTGTCTGCTCTGCGTCAAGGAAGGTTGTGCCATGCGCCATGCATGGCTCACGTGTTCAATCTGGTTGTCAAGCGGTTCCTAAAATCCACCATCCCACTGCAAGACATCCTTAAAATGTCACGTAAACTTTGCATGCATTTCAGCCATTCCTACACCGCAAAGCACACCCTCCTTGAGCTGCAGCGGCAGAACGGAATTCCACAGCATCGCCTGATCTGCGACGTTGCAACAAGGTGGAATTCAACCCTACACATGTTAGACCGCCTTTACGAACAGCGAAAGGGCCATCACCGATTTCCTGATGTTACAAGCGGATAAAGGTACTCCCCTGTGTAACTTAGATGTCAGCCATTGGCAGCTCATGCGTGACACCTGCCGCTTGCTCAGGCCCTTTGAGGAGGCCACGCTATTCGTGAGTCGGCAGGACTATGGGATGAACGACGTCATTCCTCTGTTGCACGTCCTGGAACAAATGCTGTTAACAATGGCTGGTCAGGGTGCGGTAGACGTGGCGCACAGATCTCAACGCCACATGACCCCTGTGGGGGCAGGACAGGAAGAAGAGGAGGGGTAGAGGAGGACATTTGTGCTCAGGAATTATTGAGTGAAATGGGTGGTTTTTCCACTCAGCGGACAGGAGTGGAGGAGCAGGAGCATCTGGTAGAGGAGGAGGAGGAGGAGACAGAGGACCCAGACGCACCGTGGCAGTATGCTGTGGAGATGGAGGCAGGGAGTCCCTCGCATTCCTTGGCACAAATGGCCCATAGCATGCTCGGTTGCTTGCGTAGCGACAGCCGAATAATAACCATCAGACAGAGGGATGACTTTTGGCTGTCCACCTTGTTGGACCCTCGCTACCGTTCAAAAATGGTGGCCTTTTTCACACCTGCTGAGAGGGAGGCCAAAATAACGTACTATAAAAACCACCTATGTAGTCAGTTGGTCTCTGCCTTTCTGCGCCAACGTCCATCCTCAGACACTGTGGGCCCTGTGCGCTCGCGTTCCGCTGCCATGGCAGCAGGGGAGGGGTGGGGTGGTAGGGAGCAGTGGCAGCTCCACCAGCAGCGGCTGCCTCAGTCTGCAGTCGATGATGAGTAGCTTTCTTCACCAGCGCAGTGAGGAAACTACTAACCAGCCGCAGCAGCAGCAGCATCAGGTGGACCTGGAGCAGGACCTCAAACAACAGGCTTGGGCCTACTTGGACAGCACCCTGCCAACCGAGGTAGACAATCCCCTTGACTACTGGGCAACGAAACTTGACCTTTGGCCCCAACTAGCTGAATTTGCCCTTGAAAGGCTGTCATGCCCGGCCAGTAGCGTGGCATCGGAGCGCGTGTTTAGTGCGGCAGGAGGAGGTATTGTAACTCCGCGGAGGACACGACTGTCCACCCAAAGTGTGGAGAGACTCACGTTTGTGAAAATGAATCAGGCGTGGATTAGTCTGGATTTCAAACCACCAGTTCCTGACACAACTGACTAAATCCGCCATGAATCATGCCCCAAACATGTGCCACTTTCAGGTCTCCTCACACTGCTGGTGTGTTCCATTTTTTGTCATAGGGTGCTGGCAGATTACGGGCCTCCCATTGCTGCTGCCAGGCCCGTAATCTGCCATGGGCCCCTGTACCGCCTCCTCATGCTGCTGCCAGGTCCAGAGTGTGTCATGGGTCCCTGTACGGCCTCCCATTGCTGCTGTCTCCATCGCCACACTCTGCCATGTGCCACTTTCAGGTCTCCTCACACTGCTGGTGTGTTCCATTTTTTGTCATAGGGTGCTGGCAGATTACGGGCCTCCCATTGCTGCTGCCAGGCCCGTAATCTGCCATGGGCCCCTGTACCGCCTCCTCATGCTGCTGCCAGGTCCACAGTGTCTCATGGGTCCCTGTACGGCCTCCCATTGCTGCTGTCTCCATCGCCACACTCTGCCATGTGCCACTTTCAGGTCTCCTCACACTGCTGGTGTGTTCCATTTTTTGTCATAGGGTGCTGGCAGATTACGGGCCTCCCATTGCTGCTGCCAGGCCCGTAATCTGCCATGGGCCCCTGTACCTCCTCTTCATGCTGCTGCCAGGTCCAGAGTGTCTCATGGGTCCTTGTACGGCCTCCCATTGCTGCGGTCTCCATCGCCACACTCTGCCATGTGCCACTTTCAGGTCTCCTCACACTGCTGGTGTGTTCCATTTTTTGTCATAGGGTGCTGGCAGATTACGGGCCTCCCATTGCTGCTGCCAGGCCCGTAATCTGCCATGGGCCCCTGTACCGCCTCTTTATGCTGCTGCCAGGTCCAGAGTCTCTCATGGGTCCCTGTACGGCCTCCCATTGCTGCTGTCTCCATCGCCACACTCTGCCATGTGCCACTTTCAGGTCTCCTCACACTGCTGGTGTGTTCCATTTTTTGTCATAGGGTGCTGGCAGATTACGGGCCTCCCATTGCTGCTGCCAGGCCCGTGATCTGCCATGGGCCCCCGTACCGACTCCTCATGCTGTGACGTTGCAACAAGGTGGAATTCAACCCTACATATGTTAGACCGCCTTTACGAACAGCGAAAGGCCATCACAGATTCCTGATGTTACAAGCGGATAAAGGTACTCCCCTGTGTAACTTAGATGTCAGCCATTGGCAGCTCATGCGTGACACCTGCCGCTTGCTCAGGCCCTTTGAGGAGGCCACGCTATTCGTGAGTCGGCAGGACTATGGGATGAACGACGTCATTTCTCTGTTGCACGTCCTGGAACAATTGCTGTTAACAATGGCTGGTCAGGGTGCGGTAGACGTGGCGCACAGATCTCAATGCCACATGACCCCTGTGGGGGCAGGACAGGAAGAAGAGGAGGAGGTAGAGGAGGACATTGGTGCTCAGGAATTATTGAGTGAAATGGTGGTTTTTCCACTCAGTGGACAGGAGTGGAGGAGCAGGAGCATCTGGTAGAGGAGGAGGAGGAGAGGAGACAGAGGACCCAGACGCACCGTGGCAGTATGCTGTGGAGATGGAGGCAGGGAGTCCCTCGCATTCCTTGGCACAAATGGCCCATAGCATGCTCGGTTGCTTGCATAGCGACAGCCGAATAATAACCATCAGACAGAGGGATGACTTTTGGCTGTCCACCTTGTTGGACCCTCGCTACCGTTCAAAAATGGTGGCCTTTTTCACACCTGCTGAGAGGGAGGCCAAAATAACGTACTATAAAAACCACCTATGTAGTCAGTTGGTCTCTGCCTTTCTGCGCCAACGTCCATCCTCAGACACTGTGGGCCCTGTGCACTCGCGTTCTGCTGCCATGGCAGCAGGGGTGGGGGTGGGGTGGTAGGAGCAGTGGCAGCTCCACCAGCAGCGGCTGCCTCAGTCTGCAGTCGATGATGAGTAGCTTTCTTCACCAGCGCAGTGAGGAAACTACTAACCAGCCGCAGCAGCAGCAGCATCAGGTGGACCTGGAGCAGGACCTCAAACAACAGGCTTGGGCCTTTTGTTTATGTCAAAATGGGAAGAAGAATTAATTTATCCCATGGAATGGCCTCACCTCATTTTTTATCGTCGCTACATCGACGACGATATTTTGTTACTGTGGAGTGGAGATGAATTCTCTCTACAGAATTTTTTTACAACACTAAATTTTAATGATCTCAATATCAAGTTAACTTTTCAATACGATTACAGGGAGATTAATTTTTTAGACCTGACCCTTTTTAACGATGGACATAAGATTTTAACCAAAAGTTTTTTCAAGACCACAGACAGGAATAGCTTCATTCCAAAGGATAGCTGTCACCACCCTAGATGGTTGAATACCATTCCGAGGGGACAATTTCTACGTATTCGTAGAAATTGTGACAACATTGAGGACTATAACACCCAATCTCAGATCCTGAAAATGAGGTTTATAGAAAAAGGCTATGACACAACACACCTAGAGGAAGACATCAAAGAGGTGGGTAATTTAAATAGAGAGGATCTCCTTACAACTAAGGATAAAAATCTAACCAAGAAAGATGTTTTTCGGTCCAATACAAACAAGTAGCCAAAACTATCAGGAGAAATTGGTCGATCTTGAAGAATGATCCTGTTTTGGGGAAAGCTCTGCCGGATATTCCGGAAATTGTATATCGTAAAGCACTCCCGTTGAGAAACTTAATGGCCCCTAATGCGGTTGACCCCCCGAGAGAGTTATCATTTTTCTTCAACCGAAAAGGTTTTTACCCGTGTAATAGATGTATGATCTGCACTAACAACGGTACACACAAGAAAGCTGTAACAACATTCCGGTCTAATCAGACGGGAAAATCTTATGATATACAGTCAGTCATCACGTGCAATAGCACACACGTGGTGTACTTGCTGGAATGTTCATGCGGAAAACAATACATAGGAAGAACGACCAGGAGACTAAGGGACAGATTAAGAGAGCACCTGTCTAATATTAAGAAGGGGTTTAAGGAACACTCCTTGTCCCTACACTTTCGTAGAAAACATGGTAGAAATTCACATTGCCTGAGATTTACTGGCATAGATATGATTAAAAAAAACTGGAGGGGGATGTACAAGAAAACGAGAAGTATCCAAGTTGGAGACAAAATGGATTTTGTTGAGAACATCCGCCCCAGAAGGCCTCAACATAGACCTTGACGTCAACTGCTTTATCGACACAAGTTGACCGATCTTTTATACACATTATATGCACTGATCTCCCCTCTTATGACCTACAGTTACTGTTATATGGTTAGGGAGGGCAGATTCACTGTAATCGTATACAGTTGTTTGACTATTTGGATCTTTTAATTAATATTTGGGATTGAGCCATTTTTTCTAGTCTCTTTCCCATTTTGACCCTATCCGGAGGATACTTAATACCTGTCTAGAATTTTTAGATTCAGACTTATATACTGTTTTTATATAGCTTGAAATTGTGATATCAAACCACACCGGGTTTGTATTATGATGGTATATAGCTTGAGGGTAGGTTCTTAATATATGTCATATTTATCTTAGTTCCTGTCTACGGTATTTCACACTCCGATTACCGGGACGCCATAAGTTCACGCACCATGCTCGTTACTGAGTACATAGACACACACGTCGCACTCAGTTAACAGAAGTCGGTGCGTTTTAATTGAATGTTCCTGTTTATTTTATCTCTCAATTCTATGTCTATAATATATATACCTTTTTAGTTTTGGGGGATTGATCCTGTAACAATTTATGTACAATGTACCCCCTCACCAATTAAGATGTGTGGTTGCAACAGAATTTAGACTGTATTAAGAATTTTGCGACAACCAATTTTTACTAGCACATGTAAGCTGTGTTTGTATTTTTATTCATCTTATTTTCAATTACTCAGTAATCCACCAATGAAATTGAGTTTATAGAGCCTATAAAACACCTCCCCCTTTCTTTTGGGTGGATGAGATGGCTCTAGATCCTGGACATGCAATGTATTAATTATTTCATTGCCACTGGCAAGCTGTATTAAGCTCCAGGTTAATGGCCGGCATCGGCACTTACTGCGCATGCGCGGAACGCTCGAAATGAGCGTAATATTTTATCTTCCCCTTCACACCTCCTGGGGGAGGATATATCCATCTTGAGTCCCTTTAACCTAGTAAGGTTATCTTTTAGTATTTTAATAGATTATTATTTCACCCCCTGGGTGATGGATTTTGCCTATGAGTCAGCTTACATGTCCTGATATGTTCCTGCCTACTGTGTGTTCGCCTATCATTAGCAATGTGCTTCAGTAAAATGGCCGCCGTCCGCACGCATCGCGCATGCGCGAATCGTCCGCGATGACGTGATACGGCGGGACTGCGCATGTGCGGCACATGCTATTTAAGGAAAGGTATTACAGGAGGCACATTCCCTTTGATAACGTGCCATCGCACGAAACGCGTTAGGGAAGTGCTGCATATCCTGTGACGTCACTCTGCATGGCCCCTGTGGATGGCCGGCGGCCAATTTGGAAATCCCCTGTTACCAGCTGCTCACTACACATGTGAGTAAGACTTTTTAAATATTTTGCTTATTGCTCCAATGTGGATAATAAAGTACTACACTATCAGAATCTCCTATTGTCTTGGCTCGTTACTTCCGAGCCCCCCCCCCCTCCTTTAAGGCTTATTTGGATGATCTGGTGGCCACATCAGGATTGGTTAGACTCCCCCCAGGGGTGAGACGACTACACGCCTTCTGATATCTGGTGTCCCTGAGGTTGTGATGTTTGCCCAGCTGTTGCAGGCCTGATGACCACTCTGTGATCCAGTTCCAGTTTGCAGTAGCCGGATGACCAGGAGTTGGTTAACACTCAAAGGCACATATAAATTGCGCTCTCTGGTTAGTGCAATCTACACTCATTTTCTGCGGGAGGAATATGGTCACAGAAGTCACATATTGTGTCACCTTTTGTCCGAAAAACGTTTATGTGTTGTGCACTGCAAGAACACTCTTGTTATAAGATTTTCACCATCATTAGTATTTTTGGACTTTTTGGGATTAATTCTTAAAGATCCTTTCTATGATTAAGTGGTGTTTTACTTTATCACCTGCACCAAAGGGTTTTGTGTATACATCACTTTATGCATTAGCGCTGCATGGTCGTTTTATTTATTACTTTTGAGGCTCCTGGTATTTGCCTTTCATGCTAGCCGCTCTCTGATTGATTATCCAGCGCTCGTATTGTTTCTATTTTTAACAGGCTTGGGCCTACTTGGACAGCACCCTGCCAACCGAGGTAGACAATCCCCTTGACTACTGGGCAACGAAACTTGACCTTTGGCCCCAACTAGCTGAATTTGCCCTTGAAAGGCTGTCATGCCCGGCCAGTAGCGTGGCATCGGAGCGCGTGTTTAGTGCGGCAGGAGGTATTGTAACTCCGCGGAGGACACGACTGTCCACCCAAAGTGTGGAGAGACTCACGTTTGTGAAAATGAATCAGGCGTGGATTAGTCTGGATTTCAAACCACCAGTTCCTGACACAACTGACTAAATCCACCATGAATCATGCCCCAAACATGTGCCACTTTCAGGTCTCCTCACACTGCTGGTGTGTTCCATTTTTTGTCATAGGGTGCTGGCAGATTATGGGCCTCCCATTGCTGCTGCCAGGCCCGTAATCTGCCATGGGCCCCCGTACCGCCTCCTCATGCTGCTGCCAGGTCCAGAGTGTGTCATGGGTCCCTGTACGGCCTCCCATTGCTGCTGTCTCCATCGCCACACTCTGCCATGTGCCACTTTCAGGTCTCCTCACACTGCTGGTGGGTTCCATTTTTGTCATAGGGTGCTGTATGGCCTCCCATTGCTGCTGCCTCCACCGCCACACTGTGGCTCCACACTCTGGTTTTGGCCCCGTGACTGCCCAAATGAGTGAAGTGTGCGGTGATTCTAAGATCGACGGCACTCATCTGCATGTCATACTGACTGACAGTATTATTTCTCTTCCCCAGCAGACTCCAAGGGCATTTAAATTAAAGGTACAGTGTTCTGCACTAATATGAAGGCTCTCTGAAGCCTAGAAACACCCTTTTATAAGTTAAATTCGCAGCGAATATATTCGCATCGAATCGAATTTATTCCTCGAATTCGCCGAATCAGCCAAATCGAATTTTTGAATACTTCGCTCATCTCTAAAGATAACCATCAGTAGAAAAGTAATTGTTGATGAAACTTCAGTGTGTTTACAATTTCATGAACTAACACAAATGCTTCAGACTGAGTGTCACATGAAAATAAGCAACAAAGTGGCATAGAATAGAAATTAACACAGACAATCCAAATACGGTAAAAGACGAAAACCAGGCCACAAGAGGCTTCAATTAGGAAATCCACCAGAAGCAAAAAAGGCATCCCAGTCAAACGTCTGTCTTATGCTGCTCACATAGCATTACAACCAAAGCCAGATTCATGTGATGAGATGCAAAGACTTCCAACTCATGAGAAACAAAAGTAGATCTGAGCCTTGGACAAAACCACTTACAAGAAACAGATTTATAGAACTGAGATCTGAAATGGGACTAATATAAGGAGTAGTTGTTGAGTGGGGGTGTTGGAATACAGTGTTCATGTATCTGGCAAGAACTACGTCAGTGTTCAGTAGAGATATATTCTTCAACCAATAGATGGCATTGTTTATAAGTTTGTAACTGCATCTATGATTATACTCTATGTCTTCTTCCTGAAAAAAAGTTCTTGCTTCCTGTTAGCATAGAAGGAGCAGATAAACATGTGAACTGTACACTGTCTGTTCTGTAGAGCTATATACAGAATGTCTAACAATAAGATGTATTTTTTAGGCAGTGTAGGAAAGCATACAACTGTTATACACCAATATCTTTTGGAATATGTACATATTTGGAGAGTGTAGTTTTTTATATTGTCAATAAAATAATAAAATTGATGTTCGCAACCCTGGATCCAGTGTGCAATCTGACATTTAATTTCCACCCAGTCAGATGGACAATTCATTTGATTATCCTACTCTAATGTGATGTTTTCATACATGTCATTGTATGACACAATTTGCCATCCAAAAAATGCAAACTGTAGAATAATATGTACCCACACATGGTTACAGAGAGGGCATGTAAAATCACAACACGTTCCCTTTCAAGAAATAAATATAAAGGATTCTCTCTAAAATTTAGTAAGAATTTGTAAAAACTAGCACATTTTCAGTTATTGAAGAAGCTCGGGGACTACATATTCATAGAGGATCAGAATAAGAATGTTCTACCAAATCTACATAGCAGATAGTGGAAAAACAGTAATATTTTTTGGGGGGGTTTTTTGGTATCCTCTTTTTGGGAGATTTCCTTCTATTTCCTGCCCTTTATCTGTTGGATATGAATAAAAAAAAAAAAAATAAACACAGGTTATGTCCCTTCCCCACACTACTAAAATATTATCTATATCTCCCAGAATGACTGCAATTAAAATCCACAGAAATTGTATTTTTATTTTTCAATTACACAAGGCATTCTTTAGCATTCAGCAGTGTCTGTCCCTTTAAGGCCAGGGACGTCCTGTTTGCTAACTTGGGAGGAAGTGACCTCATCTCTTCAGACTGAAGAAATTCTACTATGCAAGTACATGTGGGATGCTGTTCTCCTCTTCATATATGGGCTTGATTAGACCCCCAAAGTCTGTAAGTACCCCTCCTATGTACTGAGGAATGTTTATGCATATAGCTAGGTAGTTAGATATGTACTTATGTCTGTTTATTCTGTTTGTATTTCAGTTTTTTACCACATTTATTCACATTCGCGCACATTCATTCGCATTTCATTATGATCACATGTTATCAGTAAAAGATCATCGGTTATCAATCATCGACTCTTTACTGTGTGGACATCAAAGGTTATACTGCCTGTAATCCTCTGTAACCCTTTCATAACTGCAGAGAAGGCAGGACAGTAAAAAGACTTACACGGTTACTTCAGAGCACATTGTGTGAAAAATCTACAGCAAGCCCCACAACACAGAAAAGACTCTTAACTGTTAATACAGCAGCACGTGTGTGTGAAATCCCCACAGCACAGCCAGTCTAAGGCATAGCAAAGTGAAACTAACTCAGCTTCATGAAAGAGATATCACTAAATTAACCCTTCCTAAAATCTCGTGCAAACAGGAAGAAAATATGCACAGTACGCTGGAAACTAGGTCACAATGCAGCACGCCGAGAACTTATAACAAATCGGATCTGTCGTCATCCAAAGCAGAAACCGCCAGATCTAAAGCGTTCAAGTTCCAGGCATTCAAACGTCACAGACCTATCGTCAGTCAGTGCTGGGGCAGCCAGGAGTAAGCATACAAGTTCCAGACATTCTAGCGTCACAAACTTGTCTTCAGTCAGCGCTATCGCCGCCAGGGCACAAGCCAAGGCCGAGGCCGCATGCGCCATGGCCTCCTATGCCATACAGGAAGCAGAGCTTATGAAAGAGCAAGGCTACCTAGATGAAGAGCAGCAGAAGAGTCAGGCTGAAATAAAAAAGAGACAAGCGAAGGGGAAGCTGAAATAAAAAGAAGGCTGAAATAAAAAAGAGACAAGCCGAAGGGGAAGCTGAAATGAAAAGGAGAGAAGCAGAAACGCTTAGGAGAAAGGCAGAAGTACAAGCCTCTTTACACATACTTCAGCAACAGAAAATAGCTGCAGCAGCCATAGCTGAAGCCGAAGTTCTCGCGAGAGCTGCAGATATTCAGTTTGTAGAGAGCGATGTACTGGAAACCCTGAAACACCTCTCAGTACATTCCAACGCACCCGTGAGTACGTGCAATCACAAGCAACCCTATACCCTGATAAACAGCCTAGTGACGCACCGAAACCATCAAGGACCCAGTTGGGAGCAGACAGCTTTGATGTTACGCATCACTACAAGACTGAACCTGAACCGCCACGTGATAAGTCAACCAATCACGGGCTCAGATACCAAACCGCCAACACGCTAAGAAACCAAGTAGATGGCGATATAACCTCTCCTCGTGCAAAACCAGATCTAGACTACAATAGAGGAGAGCAACCATCTGACCAAAATAGACTTAGTCAAATACCTCAACGAACCCATCAGTCACTATCAGCCAGTAGTCCCGCGTTTGTACCCAGAACAAACGCACCTGACACAGCAAGGGTTACAGACGTGTCGAAATACCTGATGCGCCGTGAGATGGTGAGCACTGGTCTCTTGAAGTTTGACGATCGTCCTGAAAACTACTGGGCCTGGAGGTCATCCTCCTAAGCAGCACCCAAAACTTAGAGCTGACAGACAGAGAGAAGCTCGACCTACTCGCCAAATACCTAGGACCAGAGTCCTCAGAGCAGGCCAAAAGAATCAGGTCAGTGCATGTCCATGATGCAACAGCAGGACTTGCGATGGTCTGGCAGAGAATGGAAGACTGCTATGGGTCACCTGAAGTAATAGAAGAAGCACTTTTAAAGAAAATTGAAACTTGCCCAAAAATGACAAACAAAGACAATCAGAAGCTGAGAGAGCTCGGAGACCTACTCCTAGAGATAGAAGCAGCAAAGACTAGTGGAACTCTGCCAGGTCTCTTATACTTAGACACAGCACGTGGAGTAGAGCCCATAATCGAGAAGCTCCCTTTCAACCTGCAAGAAAGGTGGGTCTCTCAAGCATCCAGATACAAGAAAGACTATCGAGTTGCATTTCCACCGTTTGTCTTCCTCGCTGAATTCGTTGTAGACCAAGCTAAGACACGCAATGACCCAAGCTTCGCCTTCCTGAACAAGAGAGTTGCAAGCTCCCCAAGGACAGAGAAGCAGCCGCCAGTACACTACAAAGAACGCAGAGCAACAGTGTCTGTGCGGAAGACAGAAGTCCCGCCTGAGGCTGCAGCCAATCAGGAAGACAACACAAGCAAGGAAGTTGAGGATCCAGACAAACAGTGCCCAATACACAACAAGCCTCATCCACTAAGAAAATGTCGCAGTTTCAGAAGTAAGACATTAGAGGAGCGCAAGGCTTACCTTAAAGACAATCACATTTGTTTCAGATGCTGCGCCTCAATGCAACATCTTGCAAAAGACTGTAAGAGAGAAATACGGTGCACAGAATGCAACAATGACCGACATCTGTCAGCACTGCACCCAGGACCACCACCATGGAGATCAGAAGTTCCAGCAACTCAAGAAGATCATGGTGGGGAGCAAAAAGAAAGTGCAACACCAGCGATAACTTCAAAGTGCACTGAGATCTGTACAGAACCAGGACTCTCTCTAGATCATGCTCCAAGATATGCTTAGTCAAAGTGTATCCCAACGGTCTCAGAGAAAAGGCAGTGAAGATGTATACAGTCCTAGACGAACAAAGCAACAGGTCTCTAGCAAAGACAGAGTTCTTCGACCTCTTCGGTGACAAAGGAAGTTCAACTCCATACACCTTGAAGACATGTTCTGGAGTTATAGAGACATCAGGGAGAAGAGCAAACAACTACACCATCGAGTCATTAGATGGAAAGACGCAGCTGACTCTTCCTACCCTCATAGAATGTGACATGATACCAGATGACAGGTCAGAGATTCCCACACCTGAAGTGGCACGTCACTACCCCCTCATCATGCGAATAGCAGACAAGATCCCAACACTCAACCCAGATGCTGCAATCGTCCTTCTACTAGGAAGAGACATACTGAGAGTGCACAAGGTCAGAGAACAATACAATGGGCCGCACAATGCACCATTTGCTCAACGTCTTGATCTTGGATGGGTTATCGTTGGAAATGTATGTCTGGACGGACTTCACAAACCCGCAAAGGTGAATGTCTACAGAACAAATCTGCTGCAGAACGGTCGCACATCATGTCTTTGCCCATGTAACAACAGCATGCAGATTAAAGAGAAACTATCTAACCCAACACATCCCCAGAACATCCAGAGGTTCCTGGAAGATACAGCCTCAGCTGAAGATTCAGATCAGCTAGGCCACAAAGTGTTTGAGAGAACTCAAGATGATGACAAACTAGCACCATCTGTTGAAGATAACC